TTGGCCCCACTGTTCAATAAATCATGAGCCTGGAGCCAAGCTTCAAAAGAATTCAAAAGATTTATTAGGAGTAACATGTCAGGCACTAACCCTATGAAGCCAACTCTGAGATACGTAATTTACTATCTCCTATGACCCTGTTTCCCCCCCACTCTCCTGAGTGTGTCATAAATCAGATTCTCCAACAAAGGACATTCACGGGCTGGGTGTCATCAATCACACTCTCCAATGAAGGATTTTTTTTGGGGGGGGGGGCAGAAGATCCGGTAGCCTAGGCTACAATCTCTACAAGATAAGCATGGAATTTGCTTCTGGCCTTCATCAGCTGCACTGCTCCATCAGGCCTCCCCTCCCCTCTTCTAATGGCAACTCGGAAACAGGCATAGGAATGATTTACGAGTTGGCCTCTTTCTTTGCTTGGCAGGCGTATCTGAGCTGCAGGAGCGCACGCTGATCGCAGTGAAGCCGGATGGAGTCCAGAGGAGGTTGGTGGGAGACGTCATCCAACGTTTCGAGAAACGGGGATTTAAACTGGTGGGGCTCAAGTTACTCCAGGTGAGCATCCGGAGATAACTGAGACTTGTTTGCATGAAATTCCATCCATTAAAACCTGTAGCTTTGATGCCCTCACCTGTTCTGCAGGAAGAGGTAAGAAATCAGGAGTGCCACTTTCACAGGAAGCGGGGAGCATGACCAATTTTAATTTTATTTTCATTTTGGGGAGGTGGTTCGTTTGATGAAAGTTTATTCTAAAGTAAAATTCAGGTACAAACAAAAGCTAAGTGAAAAAGACTGAAAGAAAAGTGCCAAAAAAGAGAGGTTAAAAAACAGAAGCAACGTCCGACTTTTTTCGGTGCAATAGAATGCAAAAAAAGAATTACAGTCTCAACCTTTTGCTTTTACATTTCTAGATCTTCTGAGCCATCTCTAAAACAGCAAAATGATTCTAATCATCCCAACCTACAATTAGAATTTCAGGGTTTGTTTGGTTTTTTTTCAAATTCTGAGCACAAAATCCAGAAGTGGTGTTCCTTCCCTTGCAGGCCACCGAAGGGATCCTGGCTGAACATTACCACGAGCTGCGCCGGAAGCCGTTTTACCACGATTTGCTTCAGTACATGACTTCTGGGCCTGTCGTTGCCATGGTAAAGGGATTTTCTATACTGGTCCTGTTGTTTTCTATACTGGAGATGGTTAGAATGTTCAGTTTGATTTCAGGAGTAAACTGTCTCCCTCTCTCCCTTCTCACCCTTCTCTCTCTTCTCTTTCCCTCTCCCTCTCCTCTTTTCTCTCTCTCTCTCTCTCACACACACACAAACACACTGTCTCTCTCTCTCCTCTCTTCTCTCTTTCTCTCTCTCTCACTGTCTCTGACATACACACAAAACAATGGATGGATGGATGGAAAATAGAGAGAGAATGATATAGGTAGATGGATGGATGGATGGATGGATAGGTAGATAGATAGATATAAAGAGATATGATAGATAGATAGATAGATAGATAGATAGATAGATAGATAGATTGATAGAAATAGATAGATATATGATATATTGATAAATTGATTGATAGATCATAGATAGAAAGACCCATGATGGTGCAGTGGTTAGAGTGCAGTTACTGCAGGCTACTTCTGCTGACTGCCAGACATTCAGCAGTTCGATTCTGACCGGCTCCAGGTTCACTCAGCCTTCCATCCTTCTGAGGTGGGTAAAATGAGGACCGAGATGGTTGAGGGCAAGAGGCTGGCTGTAAACTGCTTAGAGAGGGCTATAAAAGCACTGTGAAGCAGTACATAAGTCTATGTGCTCTTGCTCTTGCTAGATAGACAATCAGACAGACAGATGATAAACAGATGATAGATAGATAGATAGATAGATAGATAGTGTGTGTGTGAGTGAGTGAGTCCTTGCACATACAATCTCTATGTATGTATGCATGTATATGTTTTAAGGTTAATAATAAGAAATAATGCAAACTAAATTAAAACAGAAAAAAAGAAAAAAGAAAGACAGATATATGATATGTGACTTCACAACAGCTGTTGACCTGGATCTACAAGCCAACTACAAGCCAAGCCATAATATAGTATCATGGTGTTTGCATTAAAGACATCCAAAGTGGTTGCATTCTCACAACTAGATGTTCTCATACGCTAGGCAAATGGAACTGGGTAGATTGTGGCTCAGTGTAGAGTGGAAACAGGCCCCTTGTCTTAGTACTTCAAGATCTAGATAATCACCTTATGCCATCATGTGGATTATTTGACTCACATATGTTGTATGAATTCAGCTGTTGTCAACCCACTTTTGCCTGCTGTGTGAAGGCAGACTTAGGTAGAGCGCGGTCTATAGGAGTGGATGGCTGTAATAAAGTTAAAGAAAGAAAACTACAGCCATAAACAAAATAGATTACATATGTAGTGCCCTTTCTGCAGCTTAAATTCCACCCAGCAATGGCTGTTTCTCTTTCTGATGTTTGTCAAATTGCACAGCTTTACCCTTTTCCCTCCTATACACCCTGTAGGTGTGGGAAGGTTACAACGTTGTCAAGACTTCCAGGGCCATGGTGGGAGAGACCAACCCGGCTGAAGCCAAGCCAGGCACTGTCCGCGGTGATTTCAGTGTCCATGTTAGCAGGTACAAGATGAGTGGTGATCAAGAGCCCAAGATATCTGATTGGGGGCTTCTGTGTTCAAATAAGAGCTAGTTTGGTGTCCTCATTAAGGCACCAGGCTAGAAACTAGGAGACTGTGAGTTCTAGTCCCACTTGAGATGAAAGCCAGCTGAGTGACTTTGGGCCAATCACCAGGAGATG